TGGGCACTGGCTGGGTCCGTGGGGAAGATAAATGCACAGAATCGATATAGCATGTAAGGAGAAATGTCAGGCAGCCAGAAACACTCTTTTGTCCATAATCATTGACTAAGGCTGAGGCTTCCCCCTGCTTCCTTAGATATGCATTTAATACATTTTATGTGCCTTGGTCTCATCTCCTTAAAACAATGCCCTTCAGAGCATAAAAAAATGCCACCTTACTTTTATATCCATTACCCAAGAGAGCCTAGGAAAAAAGTCTTCACACAATAAACATGGAAGTGGACAAATTAGACACACTTACTTAATAAAATAGATATGAGATTGTATTAGATATTTATAAAAGCAATGATTTGTTTATTTTGTGTGTATAAATGGTCTTATTTTTATTTTTTTAAATATATTTGTATTGACTCAGACAAGAAGGGAGAGGTAGAGTTAGAAACATGAGTGAGGAGAGAGAATCACTAATTGGCTGTTTCTTGCACAACTCCCAGTGGGGACCAACCCACAACCTGGGCATGTGCCCTGACCAGGAATCCAACTGGTGACCTCCTGGTGCATCGGTCAATGCTCAACCACTGACCCACACCGGCTGAGTAGACTAGTCTTGTTCTTCATTTTTAAAATTATTTTCTATGGAAGTAAAACTTACCATAGTAGGAAATTCAAAGCGCATTTAAAGTGAAAAGCAAAAGCCTGCCCACCTCTCATCTGCAAGCAGCTTGTCCTCGGGTGTGGCACATTTTCAGGTGCAAACTTCCTGAAATGTTCTAAACGTCAATGACTTTATATTAGGTATGAGTAGCAAAAAGAATATGGGTTGAATATTCCACCTGGTCTGCCCGTGAACAGGCATAGAAAAGTACACCGCTAGACAGTTTCGGCGTAGACAGTTCATCTTGACACAACTCTGAACCCATCCCTTCTGGTTCTTAATCAGAGAGATGTCACCAGGTGGTAATAATTAAACCCTGCATACTCACAGGTATGCAAAAAATTATTTTTATTAGGAAATAGACTGCATATCACAATCCCCCAAACATGCTATTTGTGACTTATAGCTACTGCAACTGTCTGATTGAAATGCTATGGTAATGGAAATGTTCCGTATCTGTACAGTCCAATATGGAGGCCATTAGTCATCTGTGGCTCTTGAACACTTGAAATGAGGCATTGTGAAAGTGAATTTGCAATGAATTTTAATTGAAATAGCCATCTGAGGCTGTTTATTAGATAGTATAGCTTTAGTACTCAAAATATGCCCTGCATGGATATGGAACATGTAGGAGGTATGAGGCTGAATTGCTGTTGTTTCTTTTTTTATCATTTGTATATAGGTAAAAGAAGGCAGGATTGTGATAGGAGAGTTTCTATCTTTATTTTCAATCAAACAGAAGTCTTACCAGTATCGTAGAAGATGCTGAATAAGATTGGAAGATGCTCTTTGGGCCTTAATAATAATAATGAGATGAACATTGGCCACAGCTGACTGGCTTAAATGAGTTTTTTACTTGAAACATGAAATGATAGATTTCCTGATGAAAGGAGTCTTTTCATATTTTATTCTGAATACAGAGGCATAAACTAGATATGAGCTTCTTGAAAGTCTGGTTTTGCTCATATTCTTATTCTCAGTGCCTGGCACATAGTAGATGATCAGTGAAGGTGAACTGAAGTATTAGATATTATTAAAGTCCAACAAACAAATATTTTTAAAGAGAGTTATGAGCTCAGGCTCTGGAATGGTATAAATCCTTAGCTGTATGGTTAAATTTCTTTGTGCCTCAATGTACTCAGCTCTAAAAAGAAAAAAAAAGGCATTATATGCTCTCCTGACATGCCTTCAGTGCATTTATTATTTTACAGGCTATTTTTGGCACTACTATATACTCAATAAATTAGAACTGTGACCTCCTGGTTCATGGGTCAATACTCAACCATTTAGCCATAGATTATGAATAAACAATGATAGCACCATGATTGTGAAGATGAAGAAACAATATTTGAATTACTTCAGTTATATCATTCTATGTGATTACTTCAAGTTGTTATATTTAAAACAGCTGTGCAGTGTATGGATTTTGGTTGCCCAGCTCCAGTTGCCCATGTTTACAGCTGTCTATGTGATGTGCCCTCCAGTGGCCAACTTCCCTTCCCTGGTTCCTTTTCTCACTCCCCTAACCTGCTTCCCTTACCTCCCTTAAAAACTATCTGCCCTCAAGTCCTTGTCTCAGAGTCTGATGGAACCCAAATTGATATACATCACAATAATCCTAAACTAAGTCCTACAACTACTACCCCCATTCCTAGCAGGAGAGTGCCACTCATAGAACCTCTCTTCTTCCCACTCACTCAATGGGTTCCCCATATCAGATCTCAAGGGAAACATGCAGGATACCAGGAAGATAGCAGCACTTGTCTCAATACAAGAAAGACTGCATTCACCTTTGTCTTCATTTAGAGGAAGTTCCAGAGCCTCCCCAAACTGTTGCAGGTAGAAATAACAGAGCTGAATCTGGAGTGCAAAAATGGTACCCAAAACAGAATCACAGAGCATCTAACAGTATGTCGTTCTTCCTTTGCCATATCCAGTCTTTCATAGCTGGCTCATCCAAGTCTAGGGAGAACTTTAGGCCTGGACCATGGAAGAAGCACCCTGACTTTAAGGAAATTCTAGGGTACAAAAGCTCATGCTGAACCTGGAGGAAAGGGGAGTGGCTATAGTCCCCTGACTAGGCTGAAGGTGGAGGAGACACCCCAATAAAGGGAGTCAGGTAGGGGCAACACCACATTCACCACCTTAAATTTTCAGATGAGATCTTTTTAGTGATTCTCAGCTCTGATTACACAACATTTTTTTTTCTTTTCCAAATCACTATACCTTATAGGCCCTGAATATATAATAGATCAAAATCCCTGTATATGAATGTATATATCATATATAATAAAAGCCTAGGAGGTGTCATGCCCTAGCAAGACACCCTCATGTGACATCATCACAAGATAGCTGCACACAAAGTGGAGATGGGGCCCAGCAGCTGCTCCATGTGGTGAGGCTTGGAGGAGGTGGGTCTTGGCTGAGGAGGTAGGTCATAGCAGGGGAGGGCAATTGTGGGCAATGGGTCCAGCATGGCAGTGGTTAGGGGGCAATCAGGCAGCCAGGCAGTGAGCAGTTAGGAGCCAGCGGTCCTGGATTGTGAGAGGGATGCCGGTTTAGGCCAGCAGTGGGACATCCTCCAAGGGGTCCCAGATTGGAAAGGGTGCAGGTGGAGTTGAGTGTTACACTCCCCTCCATGCACTAATTACATGCATTGGGCCTCTAGTCTACATATATTAAAGGCATCACAAATGAATGTGTTTTAAAAGCTCCACAGGTAATTTTGCCACCCAAAGCAGAGATGAGGGCCATAAAATTATAATATGAAAAATGTTAACCTGATGTGATATAATCAAATAAATAATTTCCGTTTACTTCTTAATCACATGTTTCTGAGAAGAATTCAGAAAGGATATCCAAATTCTTGATGAATTAACTCCAGACTCAAAGAATATAGTTTGTGCCCCTCCTCAAAATGAATGCTTCTCTGTTACTATGCAAAATGATCAAAAGTAATTGAGAAATGCAGTTTATGCTCTGAGGTTTATGCTCTGCCAACTACCTTGCATCCAGGAAGAATGTATTGGTATAAGCAAACAGGTGATAAATCTAATGGTATAGATTCCAGCTTGGCAGGGGACAGATGCTTTCCTGTGTTTCTCAGCCCTTGAACTCATGAACTCTCCTTGCCTAGAGCTGATGTGGTATGCGGAAGGAAGGGAAGTGCTGAAGGAATTGTTCTCCATCTGCAATTACTCCCTTAGAGTCTCGAAGTCAATACTTGACTATTACCAGTGCAGCACAATGACCGGTCAATGACTCAGTCAAATACAGCTGCAATATTAACTCAGGGTATAATTCACGAGTGATTCTTTTTCTACTGTAATTGCTGACAGAGTCCTGGCAATGAACCCAGTCTTTTAAAGAAAAGTTGATCTTGGGCCAAAGGGCTGGCTAAAATTTCAGGCAGGACATAACTAAGTAACTAAATAAATAAACACACTACTGTCTATATCTAGAGAGATAGATCCTACATAAATATATATCTCGATAGATAAGTATAGATATAGATATGTAATATTTTGATATGGATATATTAAAGATGGATGATATAAAAGTATATTAAGAAAGCATTTCATTCTAACTTATCAATATTTCCTATTATGATACATGAGAGTTAGAGTTTATGTTAGCGAGACCGGGGTTTAAATCATGGTTCTACCACTTAAGTCATTGTGTACCTTCTCTGGGCCTCAAATAAGATGATTAGTATCTTTAGGTTGTCGGAAAGAGTAAATAAAATATTACATGTAAAGATCATGCCTCAATGGTTGCCCATAATAGACACTTTCTTAAGTTTAATTGCCCAGGTCATATAGATTTATCCCAAGCAACATTACTTGCCATAAAACTGTAATAACCAAATATACAGACATGCAGTTATCCAACCCAAATTTACAACTCTGTTAATGGTACAACCTTAGAAAACTTCATTTGGAAGCAAATGCGTGGAGGTACTTAGCAATCTAGAAATCAAATAAATGTAAAACTATGCTTTAGAATTATATGTTCCTTTATCCCCTTATGTTTACACACACACACACACACACACACACACACACACACACACACACACATACACACACACACACACACACACACACACACACACCATACACATAAACACATGTACAACACAGCACAGGAGCCTTGGAAACCCTCCCTTGACCCCATGTACATGACACTGTTGTGTGTCATTTTTATTTTTTAACGGTTATTGAATTGCACGTCGTAATTGTCAGTTTTCTGCCACCTCTCCATCCCCTGCTGCAAAAGATCTCATCTATTCCGAGGAAGATAATTGCCAAGCTGTGGAGACAGAAAAAGGATAGCTGCATCTCACCACTGTTGTGCGCCTCCAGCTGTGAGGCTGAGTTGACAGCAACCTTGCATAGCGAACAGTAAAGAAGCCGTTTTGCCTTCTCTTCTTCAGTCTCCGTAGTAGAAGGACATGAGCTATTGCCAGGGGCGGTGGCAGTGGGGCTCTTTTCCACTTTGGAGGTTATCTCAGTTGTCATAACACTGTTTTTGGGAATTTCCATAGTTGTCGTCGTTGATATTGCTGGTGTCCCTGTGGTACTGTCTGCATTCAAAATAGCACAGAGGGAAAAAAAAAAGAGGAGGAAAAACACAGTGGTATTATCTTTCCTTGTTTGGAAATGTGTCGCTAATATTACATTCTACTAATACTGATAAGAGCAGCTAGCAAGTGCTGCGTGTCTGCTGTACGTTAGTCAGCGCATTGGGAAATTTACATAGATGACCACACGTCCTTTTGTACATTGCTACACAACGTTCTGGCGATTCTTCAATATATACAGATGCACTTTACATTTTTCCTAGGGTGTCAATAAATATACCCACAACTTTCTGTGGTTCCCATATAGCTTTAGTAAAATAATCTTTACAATGTATTATACTTTGTATTCATATATTTCTACACAGATGGCTTTTTTTTTAAAAAAGGGGATCAATATTTAAAAGATATCTGTATTTTGACATACTATTTGTCTTTCTATTTTCCTTTCACATTTCTTTCTTTAATTAAAAAAATAAGCACTGATCCCTTTGTACATGCTTGTACAAAAGAAAGATTACAAAAATGGAACCTTGATGACCTATTTTTTTTGTCAGGAGCAATAGTTTAGAAAAAGCATCACCTTATTTACAAAGAGTTAACACCAAGTACAAAAATCATCAGTATACAAGTAAGTGGGATTCTAGTATGGCCTCTTTATGAAACTCAGACCCTGTACCAGGCTTTGCTTGGGAAGTTTGTGGCACAGCATTCAAGCACTAATGGCCACTCCTTATAAGGAATTCACAGGCTGGTCACACCATGTTAAGGTCAAATAGTTTCCTGAGTTTGATGACGACTGTAACCCTACAACCCTGTGACTTCAAAGGTTGATTCTTAATCCCCAAGAGATCAAGCTCTAAGGTAAAACTATCTTGTCCTAACTTCAATTGGGCACACACAGCTCTCATTCCAAATAAGCCAAGGACCAAGGTGTTGGCAACATTTGCATATCCAACATCACCCTGCAAATGAGCTCTATGCTTATAGCCTTTCTATGCTTATACTACTTACTCTGCTTCCCCACTGGCTGGTTCATAACCTCCTACCTAAAACATTCCCAGGCTGTCTCTCCAGTTATGGCTGCTCTTGCAGCTGTTGCTCATTCCATAGGCTACTGTGGTCACTACCTAATGCCACGCTGAGAAGCCCACAATAAATGGGTTGGATGGTGGCTAATAAAGGACAGTGATCTGCCTGCGCTGAAATGTCCTTAGACATGTTTGCTTCTTGTTAGCTCACACCATCGAGAGTGGAGTAGTTATGGGATGCATTTTAACTTGGAGACCTCTCTGATCCAGATACAGAGGTGGGAATGTAGGTGAGATTAATTGTGGCTTCTTGACGTCAGAAACAGTAGTCAATAAGAAGATAAATGAGGTCTTGGTTGAGGGCTGTTTTGTAAAACAATTCATCTGGATCTTATTTCCTTTGCCTGATGCATCACATACTTTTAATCACTTATTTTAGCTGCTAAGATCATCAAGTAAGCCTCCTTCAATGTCCTGGAGATTATCCACCAACCATGTGGGGAAAAAAAAATCAGTCTCCCATGGCTAGAGAAGAAGAAATAAAATTACTATGGCACCACATTTTGCCACCAGACTTCATTTATTCCTTTAAACATGAAGAGGTCAATTTCCTGATTAGTTTTTACTTGCCTAATAAGGTACCTGATTAAAATTACAATATCAGGTAACAGCCAGAAAATAATTCTGAGGACCTAGATATGGCATAAAATACAATAACTACTTTAAGATAGCTAAATAGCTGTTCATTGCTTCCAATAAACCAGAAATGATTGTTTGACAGCATATGCACATGTCTGTAAATAAGTAACAAATGGCCAGTTAATTTTCTAAGTGTTTTCTATACATAATTTCACTTAATCTTCAAACTTGTGCAAGCAAGGGCATCTGGGAATTAAGGAAATTTCCCAGGGTTACGCAGTAGTATTATATATAGTGAAACCAGGGTAAAGTGTTTTAAGAAACAAAGTAATCAGTGGTTTTGAAAAAAGAAAAGGTGAGTGATAGATAACCTTGGCCGTGATAGTGAGTCTCCACAGTAAGATCACAAATGCCAAATGTTTCTTATGTTCAGCTCTATAGGAAGTGACAACTGTAAGTGCAGATATATTTAAAATTTGGAGCCAGAATATGATACTATTGTTATCTATTTCATTTAAATCTAGGTAAAGATATTCCTATTAATATCCTACTTCTAATGAATTTTCCTTTGACTTGACTAAGTTTATTTTACTCTTGACCTGAAATTGTACATATCATAGGTCATAGCAATCCTAAGCCGACTTCCCTATTTAGAGTGAAATTCATAACAGAAGTATAGAATAAACAAAACCATGGATCTTCCAACCCTGTGACAGCTACACCATTGTCTTGCCTAACCCCAGAGGATAATGTACATTTATATCAAAGACCCCATAAAATAGAGACACCAGATTCTCTATGCCTAGGGCTTAGTGAAGCATTAACATTTCCTAAGGCAAGACCCTTGCTTGAGACAGGCTTAGGGGAATTAGTATCAAAACGCTTAACTTCTGGCATTTTTACTTTGTTGCATCCTTTAGACCACATAGCTGAGCCCAGATCTGTTCCTATTAGTTTGCAATAAATTGGAAAGAAACACAAACAGTTATAACAGGATGGATTTTTCACTTACTTTTCATTTATAAGTGGTGAGGGGGACTTTTTTAATAACCAAAAATAAATTAAGGTAAATACATTTTTAAGATTATGCTGAATTCAAAGAGAACTAACTAAGTATTTTATAAATTGAATAGAAAAATTACATATAGCAAAGAGGTTTTCCTTTATATGGTATGTTAAATTAATAATTATTAATAATCCTAAGCTACTCATTGTCAAATTCACCATATTAACATGAAGGGAAACTGAGTGCAGGGAATACTGGAACCTGTGTATTCTTCTTGCATTATTTTCTATAAAACTAAAACTATTAAGTGGTTTATTAAATTTTTAAAAAATGGTATTGCAACCAATCAATAATGTATCATTGTTATTTTGTAGAATCACAGTCAGAAGGGATCTTATATCATACTCAGAAGCTGTAGTATAGGTTTCTTGGTTTTTGGACTAGTACATTTCTCAAGGTCACAGAGTACTCTGGGGGAGGAAATGGGGTTTGACACTGCATCTTCCAGTTCCTAGTGCCTGTTGTCTTGCACTGCAATGACTTATGTATTCAAAGTTCACTCCATAAACAGTTATTAAGCAGGTATTTTGTGCTAGGTTCTATATTAAGTCACTAAGAATGAGAAGGCCAATAAATGTCCATTCCTTATTAATGGGGTTTATGAGACATCTCATTATGATTTTAAATATAATAACAATAAACTCAATCCTTAATCAGCATGAAAAGGAATTCAAAACATATGTATTGAATGAAAACAGTAAATGACTTATAGAGAATAACTGTGGAAGAAATTTTAAAGCATTTACAATTATTTACTCATTCAATCCTCACAAATACCTGAAAGAGGCATGCCATTTGTATCCTGATCTGAGAGAAGAAATTGAGGTACAGAGAAATTCGGGAACTTCCCAAAGCCAGAGCTTCCGTCTAGGGCACAATGATACAAATTCAGAATGTCTGGCTCAGAATCACATGGTCTTCATTTTTTTTTTTTTTTACTGATACATTTTTTTATTTTTATCATAAAAAGTATAAACTGCCTTCCCTTCAGTTAATTCACATTGGCCATGACTTGCTATGCAAGTTTGAAGACAAAATCTGACTTTCAAAGAAACTAAACATGGTCTGAGTTAGAGTTGATCACATATGTCCAAACATCCATTTATGTTAAAGTATTTAAGTTGCTGGAATCCATTTAGGAAGAGGAAAGAGAAGAAAAACCTACAGTCCTCAAAAAACCTCTTGTGAGAAATGATAAAGTGCAAACCACACGCCTTCCTTATTGAACCTTTTTCTTTTCTTTTAAGATCAGAAAAGAGAAAAATAATTTCACTTTTCTTAATGTTTCCTAAAGGCTGATTCAGATTTCTCTGCACTAGTCAACCAGTGAGGCTCCAAGAACAACCTGTGTGACAGGGAGTTGAAAATAATGGGTGCAGTTCAGGAGGAAGAGAAAGGTTTAAGATGACTTGGGTTAGCATTTCTGGGTTATTTTTCTGCCAATGCCCAGGAGCAAATACTCATTATTGCAACTGTCACAAACTGGCTTTGGCATGAAAACATACAGCTAATACTTTGTGGAATGGGGCCTTAATTGAGAATGAAAAGGAACTTGACTGTATGCAGAGTGGCCCAGTTGTAGTTCTCATCTTTATAAGAAAATACTATTAACACCTTCAAAAAATACACGAAGCATAGGACAGGATTCCAGAAATTACCAACAACTTGAATTTCAGATAATAAAATAGATAAGCCAAGTTACATGGTCTCGATAAGAAATTTACTCTGTTAGTTACAGGCCTCATAACCTATATGGGAGAACCAGGCATTAGTTTTTTCCTATTTAATAAGAATTAATATTATAGCCCCAAGATGCTCATCATGTTTTCCTAGAAATCGAAGACTCAGAATTATATATGATTTATGTCCTTCTCCCCTGTGTGAATTGAAGTCTCACCCATGTTTGCTAGAAAGTGAACAAAACAGCTGATTCCCCCTCAAATATGCTGACATTTTGAAGGATATAAAGGTGCTTTTTGACCAAAAAAAAAAAAAAATCACAAACTTTTAGAAATTATTACTGGCGGTATCTTTCCTATGGATTTCATTTAACTTAACCGGCATTTATTCAGCACAGTAACACATGCATAGGCTCAGGCTGAGGTGACCCCTGCATTGGGCTCTGTACTTTTGAGGGCTCCACATATCAATCACAAGTCACTGGAACAAAAATCTGTAGTGCTTTTTTTTTTTTTTTTAAATCTTGTAAAAGGTTTTTAGAAAGTTCAATAACTAACTGAGGAAATGGGAATTACAGGAAAGGAAAGTGA